TTCTCGCGTTCGCACAATTTCTGTACAAAAAAATAATATTCAATATTCTTGTTATATATATATATATATATATCTAAAATAAATAAATATAAATTAATTAATTATAATTAAAAATTAAATTATACGATTAAAATTTTAAATTTAAAAATAGTACAAAATACCAATATAAATAACCAAATATTTTTTATTTTCGTAAAAATTACAAGTGAGGCGGTGCCTCACTTGCCTCACCCCCAAAACCACCACTGCTTGACACCCATTTCTGTAGTAAGTCAACTCAAAGGTTACATTATTTATGGCCTATCTCTTTCAAGTCTGGTTATTACATCGATCAACTGGGTTTCTTTGTCTTCTTATCCTTTTTTTACCGTCTCTTTCATGTAAATAATACTTCAAATATTTTTTTAGCAATACTAAAATAGACTTAATTCTGAGTTCATTATATTTATTTACGTGAAGTTAACTGATTAAATCAATATCAGTGGTGGATTTAGCGTCAGGCAAAGTAGGCAGTTGCCTAAGGCGGCAAATTTTTAGGGGGCAGCAATTACAGGCCAATATTTTATTGAGAATACTCTAGGTTATTTTTTTGATTTTCTAATGTACGGTGATTACTCTGAAGAATGTCAAATAAAAATGTTTAATATTTAAGTACTTATAACATAATATTCTTGTTAATATAATATCTTCTTTATTTTATAATACATAACAATAAACGTTCAAGTAAATTATCGAACGATTGCCGAAATGTGTATCTATTAAATAAATACTAACCATAGATAACATATTTCGTTATTTTGTTTTTTTAAGTAGTAAAATTTATTAATAATCGCTCGTGGGTCGTTCGATCGCACGGCGTACACACTACACGGACAATACATACATAATATAATATGATATATTTTATACGAATACGGGTGACGATCGGTTCGTATTAGAACGATAGTCTAATTATAAACAAGTCACTGTGAATATTTGTATATAATATACTCGTACGTACTACCATTGATTATAAATAGTATTTATAATCAATGGTACTACGTACTGTGTGTACAAAAATAAAACTTTTTCTATCCGAAAGATAAAATTATTATAATAATTGTTTATTTTTCTTCGTGACTATGAAATAGAGGGCCGAGTAAAGAATAGGTTTATTTTGATTAGACATCCGATTATTTTCAACGCAACATTGAAGGCGGATAGACTTAATATTCAGATATTAGTATATTACTTAAATTACTGGTGATTAAACACTAATTTTATTAACACTATAATAATATTATAGCGATAAATTAGTGCTATAGGCTTGCAAAACTGAATTTTATTTTTATGAATATTCGTATGTATTAGTTCTTATTTGGAATTCCAAATTCTTGATTAATTAATTTTTACAAGCCCATTAAATAAAACACTTGACGATTTTTTATTCCCTACACGGTGTCTTATAGGTAAATATTTTCACCGTTAAAATTTGATTTTTATCGGTTTAAAAATGCATAGAAAGAGATTGAGTGGAGCACAATATAAAAAAGCAGCAAGAGAAAAAAAAAGCTATTAGTCAAACCTACCATACAGGTAGGCCTACTTCAGATTTAAATATTAAACAAATACCTAACTAAATGTAAAACGAAAGATTATGTAAGACAATTTAAAAATGATATATATAAAACCCATGACTGAATTTGTGGTTGTTCAGAAACAAATCGTTTGTATTGTTTTCCCTGTCTACTTTTTGGTCAAAAATCTAATGATGCCGCTTGAGTACAGAATGGAATAAACGATTTAATTCATTTAAATTCTAAAATTAAAACACACGAAAAATCAATGACACACATAAATTCTCAATTAAATTTAAAACTATTAGGAAAACAAGACATAAGGCAACAACTTTCTAGTGCGTATCGGTTGAATATCAAACAATACAGTGAAAAAATAAGTCATAATCGTTATATATTGAATAAAATCATTCAAATTGTATTAAATTTTGTGTACCTGAAATATAATAATTTGTATCTAATTTATCATAGTATTTTTACTTGAAAATGTATTATTATTATTATTATGTATTTATTATTATTATATTTGTAAAAATAGGTATAAGCAAAAGAAAAAGTAATTGGTAAATAACTAAAATTTGAAAACAATTATTTATTACAATTTATAATATATATATATATATATATATTATATTGGTTATTTTTTTTTTTTTGGATGTGCACTACTTCATTAAAAACCCACCAGCCGCCACTGTTTATTGTACGATATGTGTATGAAGGTATTCCTCTTGAGCGTTTTATTCAATTTATACCTAATTGTGAACATAAAGCTAACGATATGAAAAAAAGGCGTTTTGACACGTTGGAAAGCCTTGATATTGGTATAAATGATTGCAGAGGCTAGGCTTACGATACTGCTAATAATATGTCTGGACGTTATAACGGATTACAGGCAAAAATAAAAAAATTAAATCCCTTTTTTGTACATATACCATGTGCATGGCGCATTCATTAAATTTAGTTGGTACTCATGCTGTACAATGTTCTAATAAAGCTGCTCAATTTTTTCTTCATGTTCAACATTTTTATACATTTTACATTTTTTTCCGGGTCTACTCACAGTTGGAAAGTTTTAATGTTTAATTTAAAGTCTGAATCAAAAATACTAAACGTCTTTCAGGAACTCGATGGTCATCGAAAGATGATGCTTGTGTGAGTTTAAATGGTTGGTGGGATAAGATAATAAAAACTTTAAGTTTACTTGAAAATGACCAAAGTGAACCAGCTGAAACTCAAAACGAAGCCTCTGGATTGCGCAAAAAGTTTGAAAAACTCGAAACAACGTTTATGGTTATATTTTGGGGATTTATATTAAACAGATTAAGTATTGTAAGTAAAAAACTTCAAAGTGTTGAAATAGATATTACAGTAGTTTTGGAGTTGAGCGATTCACTAATAAATTTAATAGTATCTCAAAGAGATAATTTTGATGAATTTGAGAAAAAGGCAATTTTATGAGCTCAAATCAAAGAATATAAAACAACAATTTCAAATTTCAAGTAAAAAGAAAAGAACAATCCCATATGATGAATTAAAACAAGATGATGTTCAGTTAACAGGAAGAAATCATTTTAGAATCAATACATATTTAACAATAATAGATAAATTAAATAATGAGCTCTAAAAAAGACATGAAGCCTATAAATATTTTTGTGAACCGTTTTCTTTTATAAACACACTTAAAAACATGAAGCAAAATGAAATATCAGAAAAAGCTAAAAAACATTGCCAAATTTATAAAACTGATATAGATTATGATGAGTTTGAGCATGAACTATTACATTTTCGATCTCTTTTAATTTCCAAGTATAATGAAGAAAAATTCACTGCATTAAAACTATTGGAAATAATTTATAAAAATGACACAAGAAATACAATTTGAAGACATAATTCAACATTTTGTGGAAAAAAAGCAAGATGCAAACAAATGAAATAGTTCATTTTTTTACATTATTTTTATATGTTGTATAATAATAAGTACAAATTTTTAAGTTTGATTAGTTGCTTTTGTTTTTTATAATACCTACTAAAATTTAAATTTGATGAGACATATTAATTTTTTGAAGGAACTTAATTATATTATCTATATTATAATTATATTTATTTGGCAGAGTAATTTATTCAAAAAAATGGTGATGTATTATAATTATATTTAATAAATATTGTATTGATATACTATTTACTTGTATAGAACAGTTTATTAACAAAATCGCCATTAATTATTGTTTAGTATCAGTCTTTATGATTTATTTTTATGTAGTTAAATAAGTATTTTAAAATACGTTTTCTCGTTGATAAATTTAATAGGGCGACAAAAAAAAAATTTGCCTAGGAGCGGCAATTGTGTAAATCCGTCTCTGATGAATATATATACTAGTTTTAGTCTTTAAAACTTTAAATACATTTCCTATAATAGTAGCATAAGTCATAACTACAAATTAGAGCCCTTTCATCAAAATTGTTAACCTATCTACACCAGATTACAATTTCAGTTTTTAGCACCACTTTAGATCTTAAAATATATGTCACTATAGATCCTTAGTTATGTCATACTCTTAGCTCCCCATTTAAATTCCTGTGGGCTTGCCCCTGCCTATAGGTATCAATGTAATTGTTATACAATATACGTGAGGCCCTGGGGCCTGGGCAAGTAACCCGTTTGCACCGCTCTCGGACATCACACACAGTGACAAATTCTTATCCATCATTATTCTAATCATCAAACAGAATACTTTTAATACTTCTTAGTTACTAATCAGTGGCGTAACTTGTGGTCAATCCTGTGGGGGGGAGGGGGGCAAGCAGTAGTAAAACTAAAAAACTGGTACTATGGGCCTTTACACTTATAAATGGTAAAAATAAATACGATAATAATCTTAGTTCGCATTGTGCTATTGTTGTAATAACTAATAACCCGCCATGTATGCTGTAATTCCTCGTATTACAATTTGAAGGCGCTCGGTTTATAATGATACTATTAATAAATAATAAACTGAGGCACTCAAGAAATTAAAACGATTAATATATTATTATTAATTATTATACATTTCATTATGCTGTTTAATTTTTCTATGATAAAATAAAAATTGAATTATAAGTTATAAATTTTAAAGGGGGGGCAAAACGATACTATTGCCCCCTCAGTATAATATCTGGAGGGGCAGTTGTCCCCTCTTGCCCTCCCTCCAGTTTACGCCTATGTTCCTAGTATTTCAAAAGTATATTAAATATTAATCTAACGATAAATTTTTGAATTTTTCTTAAATAAGTTAACCAATAACCTTAAACTTGGGCACCTGGCAGGAAATACAATAGAGCTATACTTAAATACATATATATTTTATTTACAAGCATTATAATAACTTATATAATAAATAATATGATTCCTTATGTTCGCTGACGACCTGAAACTTTTCCGAAAAATCGAATCTGAAGCTGACTATCTCACCCTTCAGAATGAGTTAGATTCCATTAGCTTATGGTTTAGCACTCTTGGCCTCCAATTTAATACTAATAAATGCAAAGCTATGTCCTTCACCAGGCGCCGGTTGGCAATCGATTATTCTTACACTATCAATGGTTCAGTGATTGATAGAGTTACAAGCAATAGCGACTTGGGCGTTCTTTTCACTGCCGACCTGAACTTCCGCCCTCACATTGACTCCATCTGCTGCCGAGCCCTCAAATCGCTTGGCTTCGTAATGCGCACCATGAATGAGTTCAAGCTGTCTGGATCTCTCAAGACTGTCTACTGCTCTTTAGTCCGAAGCATGCTAGAGTATGCGTCTGTGCTCTGGGACCCATTTGTGGTAATTGATTCTTGCCACTTAGAGCGAGTACAAAGGCGCTTTCTGTCGTCTGCAGCTTACATGCTAAAAATTGTCCATCCTCCTCATGAATATACTCCAGTATTGCGCGCACTTAGCCTTACATCTTTAGCAGATAGGCGCGTTAAAGCTAATCTGGTCTTTTTAAAAAAGTTAATCGATGGTTCATTAAATGCCCCTTCACTGCTCGTCCAAGTAAACTTTAAAGTTCCACATCGGGCCACAAGGTCTCGAATTCCTTTTACTGTACCTCTCCATTGTACCAATTATGGTAAAAACAAACCAATTGACCGCATGATGCGGTTGGCTAACGAGGACCCCTCCTTTCTCAGTTTACCTTAAATTGTGTTATTTTTGTACATTTATTGTATGTAATTTTACTTGTGTCCTAATTATTTTATTTTATATTCACTGTACCTGTAATTCTGCTGTATTTTAGGCCATCGCCCCTTGTATATGTTAGCTATCTTATTTTACCGAATTATTATTGTGTACTGTACTAAATAAGGAACTTTTATTCCGTAAATTAATTAATAAATAAAAATAAATAAATAAATAAATAAATAAATATGGCAATAACAGGATTAAAATGGGACAATCTTCTAAAAACGGGATAAAAATCGTCCCATTTGAAGTTTGTCGGGACAACGGGAAGTGATGATCAAAAAAAAGACAATTCCGTTTTAAACGGGACGTCTGGTCACTCTAGACTAATATTTTATTTAAACTTTATTTCATAAATAATTTAATAGAATGCATTTAAATATTATATATATATATATATATTTGACTAGAGCAAAAGTATTATTTAATCATATATTGAATTAATTACAAACAAAACTTAATAATATGTATATAGCAAATTTCACAAAATAAAATATCACAATAATGATTGAAAAAAAAAACGAAAAATATAATTTGATCAATTATGCTTTTACATAATAGCTTGTATCGGTATAACTATTAACAAACAAGAAAGATCATTTATTTTAAAATTTAAAACATTAAACCGATTATTTCACAACCGCTGTCTTAAAATTAAAATTTATTAAACATTTTTTAAAAAGCAATCAGTGTTTTGGCAGCATACATACTTAAAGCCCAATATTTTAATGGCACATTACTAAATGGTATATATCGATAAACGATAGTGCTATAATGTGACAAAAATGAACGTTTTAGGACATTTAAAAACAAATGAACATATAGATATTGTATGTATATTAGATTTTTGATATTTATTGGTGTGTGTCAATTGGATTAGACACAAATGCAGGTTTTTGATTTTGTCCGTTGGGCATTATTTGCCGTGAAGTTTTTGACCTATAAACATTTCAAATGAACATTATAATAATATGTACTTAAGTAGTCATATTATTTTATAACAACATACCGAATCTGACCAGCCAAAAGAGGATTTATAGCATACAACCATTCATATACTTCTTTATCTAGTAGTGTTTGCATTAAGTAACCTCTATGTTTAGTTACAACACTGAAAATAAAACAAAAAATATATGTTTATTTTTTTTTACATCACATAAGTTTCTTTCTCTTCTAATCTTATTTTTTCGTGTGATAAATTAAGTCTGGCGTAAGGAAAGTGGCGCTCCCATCGCTCAGGACTAGTTGCTGCAATAGCAACCTCCCTGGCCTTAGTTGACTGGGGAGGTCTGGTCCTCCAGGTTAGGGGTTAAGTGTAAGACTAACAACCCTACCTAATTAAAACTAATTTTATGATATCACAAATATCGAAGCCTCGGACAATAGATCAAATAAAAGTGGCAGGATATTGTAGTAACGGCTAAAACTCTTAGGGAGTAGAATGGCCAGACAAAGAAGAAGAAGAAGAAGAATTTTATGAACTTTAAATTCTATTGTAAATTCAACAAATAACATGGCTATGGTTTTAGGTAATATTTTATAGGCTATCTTCCAATATGCGGTCTACCAATGTAATGTGTTCTACCTATAGCTGGGAATCCCCAATCATTATTATTTACTATTACTATTATTAACTATTATTTACTCAAAATCGTTAAAAAAATGTGTGATACTAATGAAGACCTCTTAAGCTCGATTTTTACAAGTGGTCTCAGTTCGGTCCGGTCACGGTCAAGTATTATAATGTACAGTTCTCACTACCGGTCAAAATCAGTCAAGTTCTATCTGCATGTTGCCACAAAGTATACAAAAGTGTTCAAAAAACAATCAAAACAATGGATATGACCGAGATAAGCACGACGGTTGACTATTCACACTAGGTGGTCTCGATCAAAAAGCTCGTGATCGCGGCGGTCTGGATCGTGCATGATCGGTCGAGACTTGACCGGACCTGACCGTGACTTGACCGTGATCGATAGTGTGTACGATGCCGTTGGATTACGTACTATCGATGTTGACTTGACCGTGACCGGACCGAACCGAGACCGCTAGTGTGAATCGAGCTTTAGAGAGGTACTTAGCCGAGTATTGGTGGAGAGGATTAAATAAAACTGATAATATTTTTGATGCTTTCTTTAGAGATATGAAAATATGCTTTGTGGATCCTTAATAAATTACATTTTTTTTTTATTTATACTTTTAATATTATTACGGTAGACCACGTCCATTTTGGTGGACCGCATATTTTTGTGATAGACCGCATATTGGGAGATAGCTATTTTATACAGTCACAAAAAATTGAGATAGTTAACTTGTTTTTACTTGGGTTTAAGTATTGGAATTAAAATCGATAATAGTTATGGATTGGATTTGATAAAAAAAAATACACATTAGGCTGAGAATTGAAAATTTAGACCCTTGAAGCCTTGAATTATTTTGTATTACAAATACCTGATTACCTGCTAAGTTTAAAATCTTTATGTAACTCATAATTAGTTATTTAATTTAAACTTTTATATATTTTTTTGCTATAACTTTAGTTCTTTTCTATTTATTGTAAATTGATTTAGAGAAAAAAAAAAAAATACCTAAACGAATTCGGGACTTTGACCATTGCCAATTGATCTTCAGAATATTCAACTTGAGCTGTAGTTAAGTTGATTAGTGCTCTTTCAACTGGGTCTTTTTCGTCTCTAAATATAAATACATAAGGACGTCTAACTGTCTGGAAATTAGTAAACAATACATTAATAGTTAATAAAAATATCAATAATTCGTAAGTATTATATAATCATTATGTTCTCTTAACTATTATATATGAATAAATTAGATAAAATATTTACCACCCATCGTTTCTTCCACCCATTAGTTTTATGTTCTAATATGTTCAGATAACCTTTTCTAGAAACTACAGGACTTATTCTTATTTCTTCAACTTCTGGCACATAAAGCACAAGTTGTGGTTCAGATGGTACTTGAGAAGAAATCATAACATCCTGATTAAGGTATATTGAGTCATCTATATTTGAACCACGGAAACTACGATCTGGCGAAAATAATCTACAATATGCAATTAGTATAATAAATAAAAACAAATATAATATTTTGTCTATCATACTCATGATTTGATATTGTTATACAGCTAGATGAATGACTAATATTTGATTCGGTCTTATCATCAGTTGGAGTGAGTGCATCAGTGTAGGACTGTATCAGATTTTCCTAAAAATAGTTGATTAATATTCTTTTTTCTTAATGTTTCGATAATGTTTAAATAAAGTATACTTTGGATGGTATTCTTCCTTGAATAAGTTTGATACATTTAGTTGCTAAGTATCGTTCTCTCTCATTCATTTGCCAAGGCTCATACACAATAGGATCAATATTGCGTAATACCACAGGACTAGGTGGTCTCATTATATCTTTAGTGGAACTTGAAGCTTTGGCCATTATGTTGCAAACCTCCTAATGGAATTAATATTTATAATAGATTATACATATAATATTTTTAATATGAATTAAAAACCTTTTCAGATTTGGTGATTGGTACTTTGTCAAGACCCAGTCGTTCTCTAAGGAGAATCATATGTCTAGTACGGCCAACTTCTTCATGTCTAGTAAGTTTTTCAAGTTCCCATTGATGGTCAAATATTAAACTGTCCCCACGTGGTTTCCAACCTTCAAGATTTTCTTCACCTCGAACATAAGTGGAACTTGTATCCAAAACACGTCTTTGTCGTCTTTGAACCCCTTTACAAAAGTTAAATATAATATTTATAATTATTTTTATTGACTAAAAATTCAAATTTTTGAAGGATTAACTACATCTACAAGCCAACAATTTTTGTTTTCTACTGCATTTCTCTTTTGTCACGAAAACTACCTGGACTACCTGCTTCTGAAGCTCTTTTCAGCACAAGTTCATAAATGCCAGACAGCCTATTAGCTTCACTGTTTTTATAATTGCCACTGAATAAATGTTTCAAGGATCTAGGGCCTGTTCTTGCATCTCTACCATAAATAACCATGCTTAAGTCTTTGGTAATAATGGCTGGACATCCACAGTTCTCCAACTAAAATTAATGAACAATTTTTTATTTTAAATAAATCAATTTAAAAGTAAAAAAATTCTTGCCTCTAAATAAGCAGATATAGTCATAAATATGTGTTCTCCACCAGTGGATATTCTATTAAGGAGTATAGAATTATGCAATGAACTATCCCATGCTGCTTCAAAACGAAACATGCAACGATCTTCACCAGGAATTTCAAGGTATTCTCCTGGAAAGAGGCCAAGTGAAAGGACAGAATTGTCTGTATCATCATCTTCTGATTGAGGTATATTGCGAATACGGCCAACAACAAGCTCTCGTATTTCTTTCCAACGCAATTCTGGAGCAGTTTCATGTACTATAGTTATACGTATACGGCGTTGTAGGCCCTGATGCAGCATGAAGAGTCCTCGACAAGGTAATTCTTCACTGTGATCAACCACGCAGGGTACATAATCACCATCGGGTCCTAATATAAAATATTTTTTGTAAACAAAATTTCTAAATTTCAAAATTATTTACCTTACCTAGTTCGCATATTTCAAACCAAACCAATAAATCATATTTAGCGTGTATATGTGATGTACATAATGAAGGTAATACTCCAAACTTAGGAGAGCGTACAGGTAAACTGATTGGTATTGATGGAGGTAACATTCGTCTTGGAGGTTGCCGAATACTAGAAAATAAATGTAAAAATTAAATTTTAACAACATATATTTAATATGTAAAATTGTATGTACAAAGTACTATCTTGTTTAGCATCATTGTGAAGTGGATGTTTCTGATAATGTCCAAATACTTCAAATACAATGGGTTGTGTCTTTATATATTCTATAAACGATTTTGTAACTGGAACTGTTATCTATAAATGTATACATAAATATAAAAACAGTTTCTCAAAAAAAAAAACTTTTTTTTTAACAACTAACATTTTGTACATGATAAAATCCAACTGGTGTGCCTTTGCCACAATTTTTAACGGGTTCAGTAGAAAATGCATCATCATGTCTGTGTAAGAAACTGAAAATTTAGAAATAAATTAATAAAATATTTATTAGAGTTTAAACATTTAAATTACTTGAATTGACAAAATATATCAGCATATTCGTTGGGAACCCCAACAGCTTGTAGTAGGGTGACTCTGAATGTAAAATCTTTACTAATCAATAGGTGACTTGGAAGTTCTTCATCTTTGATATCAGATGACACAGAGCTATCTCCATGACCACTGTCTCCATCAGCTTCAATTTCTAAAACCATGTTAATTTAATGTTAACTAATAAATAAATGTAGGATGATTTATTTTTATACCATCAGTTTTAATGCAACTTTTCCCTGTAACAATTCTTTCTGTGACATCAGTATTTTTTTTCCCAGATAAACGACCTAATAGATCTTTATCATTAAAAGATATTTTAGCAAATTGTCTTACTCCACACGAATTATCAGAAGCCTCATCTTCTATGCAAACATACACATATATAATATATATTTATGATTAAGTTTAATAAATTATTGATTAAATAATATACCTGAAACTGCCTGTATAGCAACACGAAGGTAACCCTTAACATCACCTTTTTCATTAACTATTGATACTTTATGTATTAAAGGTACAGGATACATTAAATTGCTTAAATAGATAAACGATCTACCAATAAGTCTAAACCATGGAAACCTATCATAAAATGGATCTCCACCAGTAATTGCTTCGATATTAAAATCTGGTGATGTAGGTGATATTTCTGCTTCATTTTGATACATTTCTCGCATAAGTTCTAATCTTTGTCTGTAAATAAAAAAACAATATAAAATAATAATAATGAATTATAAGAAAGTGCTACATTGAATCAAAATTGGTAATATAACAATATTTTATAAAGAAATTGATAAATTATGATGGGATAAATGCCAAATTTATTCTCGAAATAAACATGTCTGACAAACCACTTATTATTATTCATAGGACTTAAATAGGGAACACTAACCTTGAGGGTATCAAATAGGAGAAAGACTTTTGAGGGGTGCAGGCAGTCAGACATTGGAAAAAATCATCCTTAAGTTCGCAAGGTGAATTCTGGGGACTTTCAATATCCCCATTATATATTTGGCGCATAAGATCCAACCTCATTCTAACACAAAGACAAGTGTTAGAATCACCCTTCTTCCTGATAACCTAATAATTTTAAGTAAATTATGAATATTTACTTTAACTTATTTAATGTCCAATAATGTGTAGCACCATTTTTTGTGTCAAGTACTTCAATGGCAACATAGGTACGTGGAAATGGTCTATCTGCATCATCATCATGTGTTAAGAAATCTACTGGTAATGGAGAATACAATGTATCAGTCAGCAATGTGAATTGAAATTGAACCTGAAACAACAAATAAATAAAAAAATTAAGTAAAATAATATGTTACAACAATTTTGCTTAACATTTATTTACCTTTTTCTTAAGCTCTACTGATATAGCATTGGCTTCTTTCAAAAATACAGCATTTCCCCATAAATCATCTCGTAAAGATGTAAATTGATGATACTTCCACTTACGACAGGTTGTTAAAACTAGTTGATATTCTTTATCAGTCCAATTACATTCAGCATCAAATAATGGATTAACTGAAGTTCCAATTAAGTACAAAGAAATTAAAATGAAATATTAATTTTGAATGAATTTACCAAATTCAATGAATATTTACCAAATATATCTTCTTCTTGAATAAAGTCGTCTGGAGTATAAGAACTGTACATAGACATTGTCATGCTTTGTTCTTCAACTTGTTTTTGAAGAGCATCTATCCTAGCTTCATAATTCTAAAGATAAAACACAAAAACTTTCATTTTCTACTACTGATTTTTTTTGTTTTATTTTTATTTTACTTTGCGTTGTTCTTCAAATATTTGATCAGCAGTTTCTTTATCTTTTTTAAATTGCTCCTCAAGTGCATTTAATTTTTGTTGCATATCTTGTTTCAAATCAACTCCTTGTTTTTCTAGTAATTCAATTTGTGCAAAGTTCCAATCTACATTTTCATTGCCAATAGGAGTTTCAGCAGGAGAACACTTCTCTGGTTTTGATGTAACTTAAGAAGATATTTATACTTAATATTTAACAATAAAAATATCAGTAAAAAGACTTTTATTACTTTCTTTGATGTTTTCTACTGTTACTTCGGTCTTATTTTTATATTCTCTCCGTTCTCTTACTAGACATAAATATAATGAATAAAAATGTTGCTACATGTATATTATATTTTTAAGTTTACCCTGCTCTGGATGGTTAAAACGAAAAACATGATTTTTCCCAAGAATAACTCTTGAACCCGTTTTCAGTATAATAGGTTCATTGAGTTCTCGACCATTTACAAAACATAAAGCACCTTTTATTGGTATTAAAGTAACTACACCATTTAAATTTTCAAAGCAACAATGTTCCCGTTGTATATATGAGCCACATAAACGAATATCTTGAGTTATTTTAGATTCAGCAGAACCAACACGTGTTACACCCTCTTTGATGTAATAAATTAAACATTCGGACATGAATGGGTCTTCATTTAAATTGACCAAATGTGGAGTCTATAAAGTTAATTTATATTAATACATTGTTTCAATTAAATAAAAATAATTACTTTTTGTGGTGAAAAAACTCCAACTGTATCGCCATCTTCTTTAACAGCTACTCCCATTTCGGCAAATACAGCTTCTCTTTGAATTCGTATCTCTTCAGTACGTTTTAATTTTTCTTCCCACGTTTCATTAAGTTCTTTACAATAAAAATATAAATCAAAGTAATTAAAAAAAAATTATTTATTTATTGAAAATTATTAATATTTTTATACCGGCAATTAATTTTTCACTAGCTTGAAGTTGATCAACAGCTTCTTCAGCAATCATAGATGAAGGAACATTAGGTTTATCTTCACCATCTTTAAGCATTTTTACCCCATCATCTCCTAAAAATAAATAAACAATTAAAGTGATAGTATGATTAAATATATTTTTGAAATAATAGCTAAGCGTAATTATTAAAATCAATAATATTTTTTCTTTTTGTTGTTGATATTGAACTTATATGTGTTAAAACCAAACTAGCTTTATGGAAACAGGACACTGAAAGCATGAAAGATTACCTACTGGTCTACCTACTTACGGTTTTCTTTAAGTTTCCCATAGATCATTTTACCGCCTGATGCCCATAAACATAAAAACCATTGTCACTACACTAATTTGTATTTAAAGATCTATTTAAACACTGATAATAATAAAAATAATAATAATAATAAAATAAATATACCTTCTTGTACTTCAATTCCTTCAGCTTTTAGTAAGTCTCGAAGTCTTTGTATTTCTTCTTTTAGTTCACGAATGAGTTTGGCATTAGCATCTTCATTAACAATAGCCTTGCAAACAATTTGTTTTGCTCGGTCAGCATATCTATAAAATATTAATATTTTTAATAAATTTACACTCTTTCTTCTTGTATTCAACCTTATAGTTAAAAAAATATATTTTCATTTAATGGATATATTACCTTAAAGTAGATAGAGTTTCATCATAGTTGATATCTGCAGGGCTAATAGCAGCAATCATAGCTGTCTTAGAGTTTCCACCAAGATTTTCTCTCAAAAGCCAGGTTAATACAGAGTCACGATAAGGAATAAAATCGCCTTTCTTCTTTTTTTTTGAAGCTGAATTTACAAGAATAAAAGTATGGTACTTTGATTACTATTGATATTTGATACTATTGATAGTTAATAATTAACAAAAGTACTTACTGACTATTGGCCGTTTAGATGGAAATATGCATGAAAAAAATAAAATAAATGAGTATAAAATAAGTGTACAATTGTTATATAATATAAAACTATTTTATTTAATTTTTTTTTGTCAAATTACATATATTTATTATTTTCATAATTCATATTCCTAAAAGCATTGTATGTATAAGACGTGCAATGCCTCATTAACCACAATAAAATTATCACAAAACACAAATTCATGATATTATTATGGAAAATGTTAAATGAACAGTGTTGGAGAGTTAGACGTTTAAAAACAAAAAAAAAAAATTATAACAAACATTTCATTTTAAGAAGTTATAAATACTTTTAAAAAATTAGCAAATATTTAAAAGATGGTTTTTATATAATAATAAAAATATTTTCTTACAAAATCTTTAAACTATGAAAGATTATATAGTTTTTGAAAATATGATCAGAACATTAAAATATCAAATTTATAAAAAAGTATAATTTTTTCATATTTAAATATAATAATCTGATAATTACAAAGACCAAATGTATGATTTATTAAAAAATAATTTATTTTTACTTTAAAGAAATAATTATCAAAATATACTAAATTATTGACTCATATTTAATTTTTTTAAGACTGATACTATTTTTAAATTTAAATATGAAAAATATGTTCCTAAAATTGAAATGATTACTAAAAAAAAATATTTTAAATATTTTGAAATAATGATGTTTAAGACAACACAAAATTAATGAATTATAAATATGTAGGTACAATCAAGTGACAATAATTCAAATAATTGATCAAAAATTGGTTTGTTCATATAAATCAAATTTGTTTTCCCTCATTTCTGATTTGAGTTATCACAATTACTATTCATTAATTTATATTTATGAAGTTGCATACATTTTAGTATAGTTTATAATACACATTTTTGAATTAATATTATTTGTAAATTGTACACATACCATTTCAGCTAATCCGGATATAACTTTTCCTAAAGTAGTCAAACTTTTATTAATGTTTGCACCTTCTTTCAGTCTAGTTCCTTTAGCACCAGTTGAATCAGCTCTTTCTGATCCAGCTAAATCAACCAGTGATATCTTACTAACTTTTTCAGTAGTTAGCTGAGTCATTTCATCAAGCCGTTTTTGAGTAAAAAATATGGTAAAAACTGCATGAGAACGGCTAGATGTTTCATTCATATTAGTTGCTGCAACGGTTCTAAAATAAATAAATAAAATATTGTTAAATTAATTTGTAAAATATCAAAAACCAATAGGTCATAATACAATTATTTATACCTTATAAAAATGTTAAAATGTTTACCTAGCCTTGTTGCCTTCATCAATGAGATCGTGAATATTTTGATAAGTGGTAACAGCAAGTTTTGATAAATCTTCTACATAAGGTCCTAATAAAGGATGTTCACGAACACGAAGATTACCTTTATTTTTAGGGTTTAATAAATCACGAACACGTTCACAGTATATTTCCATGTAACTAACCTTAAATAAATAAATATTATTATGATTATTTATTATTTTTATACTTTTAAATTATTTTTATTTTTTACCTCAACAGAGTACTGTAACTCATCATTGGTAGTTGATCTAATCCTATGAAACAAATCTTTGCAAATTAATGGGATTATGCCTTCCTGACCTTCCTCTTCTTGTCTTCCCATCATGGTATATGATTTTCCAGCTCCTGTTTGACCATATGCAAATATGCATACATTATACCCTATAAATAAAAAAATTAATTATAACATAAATGTAAAGTTAAATATAATATTACATACCTTCAAAAGCATGCTGTAACATTTCTTCACCAATATCTCTGTACACCATTGTCTGGGATGCAAAACTTGGATCTGAAGGCTAAATTATAAAGACAACATTTTCATTATCAAACAATAAAACCTTTTATTTTTACTTACATTTTGAGACCAATAAGAATAATCGAAATTAAAACTTTTTGTAGCATCTTTAACATTAGGAGGGAGTTTAGGATTTGTAATTGCTGCAAAAATATAAATAAATAAATAGAACTTTTTTCATTAATGCAATAGAGTAAAACATTTAGGGAGTGGTTAATTTTTTTTATTGAATTTTACATGTTTTTTTAAAGAAAACTTACATGTTGTGTACCCAGCCATTTCAATAATGCATTTACAATCTCTAGTTATTTCTCGATTGTTAAAAGGCCGTACTCGAACGGCCACTTTTACAGAAGACATGGTCGTTTTTTATGATGTGACGTTATTCAAATGAAAATTTCTATCCTTCACAAACATATATACAAAAAAAAAAAATATAAATAATAAATATAATGAAAAAAAAAATAGGTTTCTTTAATAATCTTGACTAGTTTAAGTACATGAATAATAAATTACCAGTCATTTAAATATCATAGCATAGTGAAAATGTTCAACTTATGGTTATGAACTCATCAGCATCCACCAGTAAACTACTTGTGTACCCCTTTGGTTGCGCCTGTGCATGTTGAAAGAAAGCAAGGGTGAAAATCAATAACAGAGTTGACTGGTGGGGGTTAAAAGATGACGTCATTTCTAGGATTCCACCCACTATTAATGTGAAGCAGGACTAGGGCAATGGATTAATATCACAATTCTATAAAAGTATTTACGTTAATTATATTAGACAGATTTAAATGTATTAAGTGCAATAAAGTAAATTTAATAAAAAAATTATTTTTGTTTCGAGATTATTACAGGAGAATATTTATTTAAAAACTTTTTCATAAGATCCTTTGGCCAACTATCAAGGATAAAAGTTGTAAAATACAGTCGGTTAGGCAATCATATTAAAAAGGAGGTCGATACGGGTCTGTGTGGCGCCCAGAAAATTGCTTCGTTACTTGTTTGTGTGACCTGTCCACCACATAAAACGTTATGATGAGATATGCACATGCACCGAAGGAGACTGTTAAACATCATACAGTTCAAATATTTAGTTTTTTTGAATTACAGGTCTTAAAAATAATTAATATTTTAATTTAAAATTACGCACACATATAGGTTATTCGACATTTTAGAAAAGTACTTTTAAAAACCAATATACAATAAAGTGGCCCTTATTTTTGAACTTTCAAATTTTTGATTTCTCACTCCCTCATTTTGTTCATTATTATTTGAGTTAATATTGGTCATGATTACTAACCCCCTTCACGTGCCACAAGGGGGTTAAAAAATTGCAAAACAGGATTGGTTTGTAATTTTTCTGAATATAATCAATAATAACCTATGTATAAATAACTTAAATTATAGATATTTATATTTTTAATAAAAACATTTCTATACAATTTTTTAAACATCTATTATTTTATATGAACGTTTTAGCGAGACTTATAAACAGCATTAGATTTTTATTTATATAGATTTCATTTATTTAAAAAAATTAATTTTTTATGGTTTTTTTTTTAAGTATATCAGAATAATGGTTGATGATACAACAAAAAATCCCATATAAGAATGATAGGAAATTAAATTTTCTAACAAAAAGTTATTAAGTAAAAAATGCAATGGATTGATTGTTTTATTGGAAGAGTTGGGTAAACGTAAGAAAATTAAATATATATATAATGTTAATATGAGTAAGTTAACTCAATAATTTCAATAAGAGTACAGTTTAGTTGCCTTTAGTTATAAAGGGTGGGAGGGAAAATTTAAATATTTTTCATTTCTCATCCCTCTAGTTTTTTTTCATTACTATAAAAAAGTTATATGAGTTAAATTTGATGATTAATTACCCCTTCACGTGTCACAAGAATTATTAGATGCACAATACGTGGCAAAGCTGATAAGATATGACATGATTATATGACAATTTAATTTAATTTCTTTTGTATGTGATCATAACAGCAATCATTAAAGAAATAAACTGTAAATACTGTGAACATTTCGATTTTTTCCAGAAAAAGGTAATAATTAATATATTATATATTTTTTCTTATAAAATAATAGATTTACTAAAAATGTTATAATAACATTTTTTATAGAAAGTATTTGAATCTAAAATTTTGGTTCTATACAATTTTATGCTTAATGCAATATATTTTAAATAAAATAAAAATAAAATCTAAAACCACCATGTTTGGCAATATTTAACCCTCTTCCAATAAAATAATCAATAGCATTTTATACTTAATAACTTTTTGCTAGAAAACAAAAAATAATAAAAAAATAAAAATAAAAATATATAAATATAAATGTGTTGTCACCGTCTGACATACGTACAACATAGCAAATTTGCGTTCAGTGATTCAAATGTAGTGATGTTAGATTTAATATTAGAGTAAACTGACTTATAATCAAAATTCAAAGGAAGAATATTATCTGTGTTTTGTTGGTCGGTTTTTTCCGATATTTAAATTTTTTAGCGAGTTATGATGTTTTCAATACATTTGAATCACTGAACGCAAATTTGCTATGTTGTGCGTATGTCAGACGGTGACAACACATGTGGGTGTGACGTCCTCTTAATACTTTTAAGACAACAACAAATATCGATTAATGGACATTCGTTGATATACTGAATGTCATTAAAATTTAATTATCTAATGCTCATAACATTTTTATGCGACTTTCGGTCTATTGTTTCGGACTATTAATAAAACTTGTAAAAAATCTTGAATTCAATTTTCAAACCTTAAAGTATAGAAATTTAATGTTTTATAAAAAAATATAAAAATAATTTATTCTGTTTTCTAAAAAAAAAATGGAATAAATTATTTTGGATCCATTTCTAGGTACATAAATAAGGGTAATGTATGAGCATTTATACATTGTATTTTTAAGTTTTTTCATATAATCAAAATTATTTTATCATCATTTTACGATGAAAGCTTAGTAAACATGAACATTTCAAATATCAAAAAATAGCACTAAGCCAAAATATTTTGAAAATAAAAACACCATTAAAGAACGTTGATATTTAGCATTCAGTAAAAATTCAAGTCTCTATGATTTTAGCAAAAAAAGTCTAAAATCACAATATTTATTTATTATTTTATGTTAAAATATTCGTATCAAAATCTAATAGATAATCAAGTAGGTACCTATAAACATTACCAACTTAATTAAAACATTTCGAACCTATAAAATGTCTATAGCTAAATAACTAATATTTTTTTGTTAGTGAATTCATTAATTCAATAACAAATTAATTAAATCTTCTTCTTCTTCTCCTTCGCCTTTCTCCTAACTATTTGGGGTCGGCCACCCTTGTTCTAAACTTTATTTTCTACATCTTCAACGCACACACCAACAGTCTTCATATAATTCTCAATCGTATCCAACCATTTCTTTTTTGGTCTTCCTCTTTTCCCTTCAACGTTAATTTTCATAACTACTTTTACTGCTTTTGTTTCTTCTCGCTTCATCACATGCCCAAAACACAATTGTAGGGGCGGAACTAGGGCTGGAAGACGAGAATCATTCCAGGGCATAACATTTTAGAAGGTGTAATTTTTGTAATTATTAACAACTAATTTGATATTTTTAACTTTATTGAAAAAAAATCTCAAGTAAAGTATTTGATTATTGATCTATTATAGGGCCTAATTTTAACATTTTCCCCAGGCGTAAAAATTCTTAGTCCCACCTCTGCATATCAATCTATTTTTTCTCATCTTTTCTACTATCGACGCTACACCATTACTATTTCTAACATATTCGTTCTTTATTCTATTTTATCTTGACACTCCACTCGTCTATCTAAGCATTCTAATTTATGTAACACTCATACTCTACTCTATTCTCCTGTCAACCACCCAACATTTCGAACCATATATATGATACTTAGTCTCACTACACTCTTGTAAAATTTATCTTTCAGCCCCATTGGAATTCTCTTATCTCATAATATGCACGAAACTTCTCTCCGTGTCATCCAATCGAATTTAATCCTATGTAACAAATTAATTAGATAATTAAACATATTAATTAAATTTTGAGGAGAATCAACAAAATTGGAATCAAATCGAAAAAATGTCAATAATTACATAAATTTGCACTCACATTTTTTAGATAAAATTAAATTAATAAATAATTAATTCACTAATTTATTTATTTATTAATTAATACTTGCACGAAATGAATTTATAATCTACTTAGCAATAAATTCAAATAACAGAAAAAAGTTGCAAACGCAACAACTCCTCAGGCCTAGTTATAAGTTTAGACCAAGATCAGAATAATTTTGGAAAGTACATTGGCATTGTTTCCAGTTTAATAATTTAGGAGGATTATAGTTAATTATCAAAAACACAAACAAGTAATTGAAAATTTTCTTAGGAAGAAATTTTTATTTTTATTCCGCAATTAATGGAGGAATATAATAGCGTTATAATGAAAGAAATGAAAACACCAAACATTGCGCAATTGGCCCATGAGATATTAGATACATTTAAATACAAAGAAAAATTTCTTAATATTTCTTACATACTTAATCATTGTTTTGATTAAACGAGAAGTCACAGTAAGAACTTGAGTATTTAGTATTTATAGAAATGCCAGTCACTGTTCCATGCATAGGTGTGCACAAATTTGTATTTCAAGGGTGCCTACAATCAAGGCCGTATCTGGGGGGGTCCAGAGTGTCTGGACCACCCCCCTCGAAATTTCTTCAATATTTTACAAATGTTTAAAATAATTATTTATTTTTAATACCAACATAAATATTTTCAGTCAAAAATGACTTAAGCTCCAATTAACCATTGACTGCTTTTAGTTTTATATCATAATATCATATGAAAATATGATATTAATTTTAATAAAAGAAGATTAATTAAATCTTTTTCTGTCTAATTTTTAACCAAATATCAAAAGTTAAAATCTTAAATCAATAAAATTACAATATACATGTTTTGGACCCCTCCCAAAAAATATTTTTAGATAAGGCCTTGTCTACAATACTTTTGAGCTCTATCTTAACAAAACGTGTATGTATATATTATAAAGTATAACGTATAAATAATTAATTATATATTTATTTATATAGTATATAAGTCCCAATGAATATATTTTTCTAGAATTTTATACATTTTTTCTCAAATAGCTTCAATTTTTATAATTTGTAATTTCTTAGTCAATTTAGCTGTTATATTTTCATAAAAATTTTTTACACGAAAATTGTTCTACATTATATTTTATTTTTCCATTACGATACATAATTTATTTTTACCAAATATTTTAAAATAAATTACATTTAATTTGAGCAATATCAGTTAAAATACGGGCTCTTTTCTTTTAGACTTAAATTGTTGGATATAATTTACAACATTTCGGGTGACCCGTGGCACGCCCAACTCTGCCGTGCGTACGCTTATGGTTTCACGTGCTAGTCGAAGTTTACGCTATTGTTATGTAATTAAACACTTGTCTACTGCACGAAGCAGAATAGGTTTTTTTTTCTTTAAACCCCTTTTTTTGTGATCTACGATTATTTCAGTTAGTCGTACTGCGGTGTCATAATTAATAATCATAGGAGTAAAAACATTATTATTTTTCACTTCATAAAAAATGTACACAATGCCATCCCAGATAGCATCCAAGATATGGAGCCAGAGATATTCACCTCCTTTGTTCCTACTAAATGTCCCACTGTTTTAATTATAGAGTAATATTATATTACTCTATGGTTTTAATAGTTTTAAAAGATAGTAGAAAAATATTGATTAAATTATATATCATTGAACAACTAATTTTTGGTTGTGGTACTAGGAAATGATAACAGTGTAGACGAAGAATTATCGTTAATATTTTTTACCTGAAATAAACGGTATTTGCTAAATTAGAATTTTAAATAAGCTGTTAATTTATTAATACATCAAATATACTTCGATGGGCTTATTTTTATCCCCGTAAAAAAATTGTATATATACTTTATATTAAATAGGGTTAATAATCTGTAATAATTTTTATATATGCTAATTATTTTGCTTCCTAATTCAATTAATAATAATAACACATTGCATTTGATACAATGTATGCTTAAATATATAGTACACTTAGTTTGATTTTGTCCAAAGTCCACACTATGAAAATAATTATACCATTAATTTAATAATTACCTACGTTGCTATATATGAAAATATATCATTAATACCTACATGCATTTAAATTACAAATATCAAAGACACGATTAGCGAAATAACATTATGATTAAAATACACAATACTAAAATATAATTTAAATATATTACCAATTTAAAGCACATTAATAAAGACACATTTGTATTTTCAGTTTTCGTTTTCAATGAAAATCATTAATGTTCAAGTTTAAAAGTTAATATCGTAAAATTGAATAACATTTTACTGGGAAAAGTGAAATGGTATGAAATTATTATATTTTCAAACTATTGTTTATTGAAACTTGTTATCATAAATTTAATCAAATAAACAGTGTCTATTGATAATCACTAATCAGGTATACACACTACTACACTGCACAACACACATTTTTATTAAACTCAAAACATCATCAGAAATGATAACATTACATATGATAAAAACGCTACGTAATGTTTCTTGAGTGGATTACTATTATCGAATGTAGCCTAGTTAGATTTTCACCTTCTGTTTTTATTTAAAGTCGTAATGTTTGTGCTTTAAATACATGTAAAAATGATTACTACTATCCAAACAAACAAACAATAACAGAAAACAACAAATACAGCCGAAGAACAAATCATTTTTGAAGTTAAGAAATCACGAGGTAAAATATACTAGAGATAAACTAATATTCATTGTCGTACATCATTCAACTTACTAACAGATTATGACTCGGAAGGTTGTGTAATATTCATTCGTTGGAATTTTAAGTTTTTTATAACATGAATTTTTAATCATCATAAATGTCGTTTGATATCTCCTTAGTTGGGGTGTACAATAAAAGTTTTTTTTTAAACTTTTATTATTTGTTTAAAAACCAGTTAAACTTGGTCTAATCCAATTATATAAATTCAAAAATTATCCATTCTAAGGTATCATTTATAGATTATACTGAAGATTTAAGTTAGTTTTTACCATATGTGTATTATATTCAATCTAGATTAATTAATCATTCATACTAATTATTTAGAAGTTATATTTTGATAATATGAATTTTTTTTTTTACAGAGTTTTTTTTGAAAGTTGATTTATATTTGACATCCTGAAATATGAAAGTAAAACTGGATTGTTTAAGTTTAATTCTTATGCTATTGGTTCCATTAGTAACACCGATTCGTTGGTTTATGCATCCAAATACCCAAAAATGTTTACGAGAAGAACTCAGACAAAATGTGTTAGTTAAAGGTGACTATGAAATTGTATCAGTTGAGAACCAGGTTATGGACTACATTGTCAGGGATTCTAAGGGTCACATTTTAGCAAATAAACAAGACATTACAAAAGGAAAGTTTACATTTAGTACCGAAAATTATGATATGTTTGAAATTTGCTTTACTTCACGTGTACCTAGTTATCAGAGGGGAGTAATGCAAGAGGTTTCATTAAATATTAAAACTGGTATTGAAGCCAAAACATATGAAGGATTAGGCGAAGTTGCCAAATTGAAGCCTTTGGAATTAGACTTGAAGATGTTAGAAGATTTATCATCATCCATAGTCCAAGATTTTTCAGACATGAAGCATCGTGCTGAAGAAATGCGTAATACTAATGAGTCAACTAGCAGAAGAGTTCATTGGTTTAGTATGTTTAGTATTTGTTGCTTATTTGGATTAAGTGTATGGCAGATATTATATTTAAGAAGATATTTTAAGGCTAAGAAACTCATTGATTAATTTAAATTTATTTATATTGAACTATGTTTTGCTGATAAAAATATATACTTGAATGGCAAGATAATTTAATTTAATACATTTTTATCTTTATATCATTTTTTTTTATTCAATAATAAATCTCATAGTACTGTAAATTTTGATAAAAAAAATGAAGAAATTCTAATAAATTAGTTCCAGATCTTATAAATTTATCAGTTTAGCTATCTCTTATTTTAATATTTGCATTAATATGAATAGAATTATTATTAACAATGTTTTATAATATTTACATTACAATAAAAGTGCATGTCTAAATATTATTTATTCTTAAATCGATTTTAACTACATTTACTTCAAACAGTAAACAAATACTATAATCTACTATAAATACATAAAAGCATTAGTAGTTCAACACATATAATTCACTATCATAATTTATTTTAAGCAAATTCAAGTGGTATTTTATTAGTTACATATACAATGTTATTTTTTTAATGTTATTATACCTCCAACAGTGTCGGATTACCCATTAGGCGGAGTAGGCTTCTGCCTTAGGGTCTCACTCATTCATTTTTTGAAAAAAATAGAAATAGTATAATAATTAATTAATTTTTATTGCAAATAAAAAAAATTAACCAACACAATTTTATTTATTAATAATGGTCGGTTAAAGCTGTTTATTTCAATTATCGGATAGAAATGTTAAAGATGTATGTAAAAAATAATTTTGTAGTGTCCAACATTATAATCGCCTAGGGGCCCACAAATATTTAATCTAGCACTTACCTCCAAAATAAATAATTCATTTTAGTGTATTGTTAATATTACCGTTTATCGTCATGATTTGTATACCTTCATTTTTAGAGATAATTTTCATAGAAATTCCACACAATAAAATATTTATGTTTAGTGTTGCATTATTTCAAAAATTTTTAGAAACACCTAAGTAAACCAAAAAAATGAATACAACTAAGATAATAAAATATGTTACAGAAGTGTAGTGAGACCAACTATGCTAGATGGTTCGTAGTGTTGGGCGGTTGACAGGATAATAGAACAGAGTATGAATGTTGCGGAAATTAGAATGCTTAGATAGATGAGTGGAGTGACTAGAAAAGATAGAATAAAAAATGAATATGTAAGCGTCGTATTTGTGAAGCGTTGATAGTGGACAAGATGAAAGAAAATTGACTGATATGTTTTGTGTATGTGATGAGGTAAGAGAAAACAAAAGTAACAAAAGTAACAAAAGTGGTTATGAAAATCAATGTTGGAGGGAAAATTATATATGCATAAGGGATGTAGAAAATTAGGTTTAGGACAAGGGTAGCTGACTCCAAATAGTTGGGAGAAAGGTGAAGAAAATAAATTTACAGTTTTTAATCTATTTAACTTTTGCTTTTAAAAATGAACTATTATTGTTATTAATATTAAGATCCCCATATTCCATGATACTCCACTTAGCCTATCTGTACCATATACATTTTAAAAATAATCAACTTGAGGTTAGGTATTAAAATAATTAGTTTCAATATAATAATATTGAGAAAATATATTATAAAAAAATATATTCACGAAAAATATATTTTTAGAACATTCTATTATTTATACATCATGAAAGTTTATCTGAATTATATATTTTTTTAAATATTTCCATAAAATTAAATAAATTTAACATTAAAACATTCCTTTTTGTTGTTTACTCCTAGCTGCATTTCTTCTGTTATGATTTCCATGGAATGCTTTATTCTCATTTTTCCGTTGTCTATCTAAGTCAACATTTGATCCAGAAAGAGTATTTGATGGAATAGATGCTTTAGGTTTACCTAACAAAATGAAACATGAATATTAAAAACCATATATTTTTATTTTTATTATTACTAATACTTACTACGATTGGACCTATTTAATTGCTTAGAAGCATATTTCCTAGCTTGTCGTTCACGAACTTCTTCAGGATTTTCACAGAATGGTTGGAAATTTAATATTTGTTGTGGTTCATCTTCAGAAAATTCTTCTTCTACACATTCAATAATTACTTTTTTTTCAGTTAAAACCCTTGGTACAACGTCAGGTCTTCTTTTTTCATTTTCATCTGCGGGTTCTGGTATAACATATTCCACTTCATCATATGTGTCATCATATTCATCGTCATAATAAGACTCTAATTCAGCACAAGTAACTTCAGTGAAATTATACTGTTCATAAAATGGTCGCATTTCGTTACGAAAAGATTTATCATCCAAAACAGCTTTAAGTTTTTTAAGTTTTTTTTTGCTATAAAAATATAAAATATTATGCATGATTAAAAATGCATTTAATTTTATGATTCTATTCCTTGCAATAATATTCATACCCTTTAGTTGATGAATCAAAACCAGTAGCATTATCTTCATTATTATCTTCTAATGCGGTAGGGAGATTGAAATCATACTGAGTAAGTTCTGGAGGCAGACTATTTTCCAAAACCATATTTATAACTTTTTCAGAATCCATATTATAAAATTCTAAACATTTCTATAAAAACAATAAATTGCTGAATCAAAATAATTTTCAAACAAAGTAAACACATAAAAGATTATTAGTAATTAACTAACTTGGATAAATCCATTGCCTAAGTGGGGTAGTAAATCCTTTACATCGCTTATAAGAGACTGTAATTTTGCATTTTCTAAATTTAAATTGCTGGTTTGTTGCTGAAATTAAAAATTTAAATTTGGTATGTAAAATAAATAAATTATTAAAATCATTACCTCTAATAGTTGCTCTTGTAGCATTTTTTGTTCACGTTCATTGTTTGATGTATTAATTAGTTCTAAAGATTTTAATATATAATCATACCTTGTTGCATCTCTAAATAAAAAAAATTTTGCTGATATTTTTAAAATTATTGTAAAATTTATTAGAAAAAAATCTTACATTTCTTTATAAGTTTTCTGGCATTTTTTTATATCTCTAGTCAAATTATAAACAACATTATAATCATTTAAAAATTCGTTATATTGTAATAGTTCAGTAACAGCTTCAAGGTATTCTTCAACTAAACCATCTGATCCACTTTACAAAAAAAAAACAAAAAAATATATAGACTTATATATTATATTCAATCAACAATAATTGACCATATATATTTACTTTTTGTCAATAATTTGGTTTGTTAGATGAGTTAAACATAATTGAACACTCTTTACAAGTAATAACCTTGATGCATGAAGCTTCTTCTCATATTGTTTCAATTTATTTATAGTTATTACTTTTTTATAAATTAGAGGTTTAACATAGTGATAGAATGAAGCAATACTAAACAAATAGGTACAATATTATTATTTTTTTAAATTATTACTTAAGTATTATATTTTATTCATAATACATACATGAAATGCAATCTTTCTTGGTAAAAAACACTATTGGCAATCGGGTAAACTTCTAGAAAATTTGAAATGCTATAAGAAGTATCTAATAGAAAATTTATAATATCGTCAATCATGATAATATTGATTTCTTCAATTTCAGCAGCAGTTTTATTACCTCTGTATAAATGGTTATCACACTCAAGATCTAATTCAATTTTATCTTGAAATTGACCTAAGCACTAAAAAGTATAAAATTTTAAATTTAAATATAAAATATATATTTAACATAGTTACTTTAAGCAACTTACTTTAATAGTAAATTGAATAGAATTTTTTAAATGTTCATTATATGATTTTTGACACAAAAACATTTCTCTGAATATTATTTCTAACTCTTTTTTATGTGATTGACCATAAATAGAACAAATATCAAATAACATGGGAATATTTATAATATTGTTATCACATAACAAACTCCACATATGATGAGGTGACATATAATTCTCCTAATAAAATAAAATAATAACTAAATTGTTTAGAAATATTAAAAGTATTTATACTTCATTCTCAGAAGATGTAGTCAACCGAGTTATTAATCGATATGCAAAATGATAAATTTTACTGTACATATTTAACATATTATCATCTTGTGGAAGTTGATCTATTAAGTGAGGAGGAGCAGCGTCTTTAAGAAATGAGCATAATCCTATTGTAGCTTGTTTGTTATAGACGATTGTAGACCAAAATCTAAAATAATAAAATCATATTGATAATGAATGCATAAATGTATTATACTTATTGTACGTACTCTTTAAATGGTAGGTTGAGAAGTGTTTTAAAGTCTTTAATCAAATAGGTCATTTGTTCTATCCAACATTCTTTTTGATCCAAATTGTTGGTAATAGATTTTAAAGGATGAATATATCTCAAAAAAATTTTTTTTAATGCCAATTTTTTATCCTAAAAATACAATTATATGTATAACCGGAAAAATATAAAACTTATATAAACATTGATAACATTAAAATATTGATTTAATAAAATATAATTATCATTTAAATATTTTGTTTTTTGTAAAAATATTAAAAATTAAGATATTATTTTTCAAGCTAAAGTTACAACTATAGTATATTTACTTCAACAGCCATTTTGAATCAACAGTAATGGTTAAGCAGCAAAAAAAATCCACATTTGTATGGTTTCTATATTTTATATAATACAAATGTAAGCATATACAACAGGTAAGATTAAAAAAAAAAAAAATGATAGGATATTTACATAATGTTACTCTATGAAATAAATAATTAATATAATTAAATTTAAGTCTATGGCATATACAATGTCTGTGAAGATCATGAATATGGATATCTATGGTGTAGATTATTGGACTCTTATCAGATTTTGATAAGAAGGTAACCAGAATCAAGATCTATAAAGAAAATTATAGATCTTGGACCAGAAAAACACATAAGTAGTTGCCTATGTGAAATTTATATAGGAAATATTAATTTTTAGAATTGTACTTTACGTATACATAAGTATTATTACCTTATAATATTTATTATTTACCACAAAATAAATCATTTTCCTGTAGTTTTTTAATTTATTTAGTATACACAAGAGAGCACCAACTGTTATCCATCTTGCTGTTCACTTAAGGCCCCCATACACGATTAAACAGTTTGCGTAACTACTATGTTTGCGTAAGCATTTTGATCGTGTATGGAATGGATTGAGTAGTTGCGCAACTGTTTGAAACCAAGCTTGAGGTTTTCGGTCGAGTCCGAAATATTTTGTGCAACGCTCGATGATTGATAAGCGGTTTGAACGTGTATGTCAGTGTTTGACA